ATCTCTCTCCCTTCCTCTCTGTACAAAAACAATAAAATATATTAAAAAAAAAAAAAAAAAAAAAAAAAAAAAAAAAAAGTATTTGCTCCACGATTACCATAACTCAGAAAGAAACCTGACCTTTATCAGTTGAATCTGTTTATAATAATAAAGGAGATCCTATTTTTTTTTTAAAAAAATAAGTTTGCATTTTTACCTACCAGTGGCATAAATCTCTAGGGATAACAGACGTTTCCCCCCCACTAAGAATAAATGGGAAGTGATGCCTGAACGCTTTACAGTTTTGCAGGCAGTAAATGAAGCAGCTAGGAAAATCTGGTGTGTGTACTCAACCTGAGACCTGTGGCACCGAGATCCTTCTGTAAAGTGTCACCTCAACTGATAGGATGCTCTCTGGAATTGTATGTGCCCCACTGCTGGACCGTGGTTTTTCTCTCCACACATACTGTATTTCACATACATTACATGGCATGCACCCTAAAATCTGCATTGCCTTCTTAGAGGGTAGGGGCCATTCATTCTACTTTATCTTTAATGGGAAAATGTTGGGATGAGAAGGAGTAAACAAAGAAATGTAAAATGTAGTCAGCGCACCCTCGGCTAGAACTCTGCTGAGGCAGGATGCGTCTGTCCAAGGCATCCAGCAAATAAGCTACAATCACAGGCACACGTTTTCATCACGTGCAATTCCCAGGCCTACCACATTGCTTTGGAAACATATAAGGCTGTTTTTATTTAACCATTCTACACTCACATTCTTGATATAAAGAAAGAAAGTTGGTCTGGAGAAAAGAGAACTAAATATTAATTGTGTGTGTGTGTGTGTGTGTCTGTGTGTGTGTGTCTGTGTGTGTGCGTGTGCGTGTGTGTGTGTGTGTGTGTGTGTGTGTGTCTTTGTTAGTGTTAGGCTCTCTCCTATTGATTCTTCTGCCCTAAGTCCTTCCTTTGTTTCACTGTACCCACCTATAATAAACCTACTCTCAAAATCACCTGGGCTTGCGCTATGAAATCTTTCCTGCACAAAGTGAAGAACCCACACACTACAGGCAGGCCCGAGGCACACCCACAGCTGGCCTGGTCCTTATCTGGTGATACTTTTCTTTAAAGTTCTATCTAAATAGTTAAAGACTCAAACAACCATCTAATCTCAAATTTTAAGAAGTTTTTGTTTAAATGATGACCACATTCAACATATGAGTAATACATTTTCACTGCCGATACAACACAGCAACAATGAAAACACAAAGAGACAAAATCCCAGATGCTATTATTGATCATTTTTGGATCCAACCATAATTGGGAGTAAGGTAGCAAGGAAAGAAGAATATACAAATTTATAGCATATACTATATTTCAAAAATTAGTATGCTTCAAGTGTAAGTGTATCACAGCATGCTAGATGGAAATATTTAGGCAATTAGTTATGGAAGTTGATATTTAAAAACCATGCAATTACCTCAAATACTTAATATAGATAAAAAAATATTTTAACGCAAATTATTTGTGTTATTGTCTGAATTCTCAATAAAATTATTGGCACAGACTTATCCCATGATGTCTCACCTAATAAATTTCACATTTCATCCTAGGTCTCAATTCCTGTAAATTTTAATACCAGTCATTTTCAGGTTCCTCCTCTCTGTTTTCATTCTGGCAGGTAAACCCAGTATAAAAATTAGTCCTTTTAATCCAAACTTTTCTCAATCAAATCCGCCTTATTTTACATTGTTGAAATCATCCCTATTCTCTTCTTCCCCCAAACACTATATGCTTTGACCTTAGTTTGCCCAGGCCGACAGTAGGTATCACCTAGGTCAGTCAAATAAATGTAGAATCAGGTCATCAAGGAGATGAAAGAACCACTGCAATGCACCTAACCTTTTTTTCATCTCATTTTTTTTGGTGAAAACCTAACTTATGGCTGCGAGGGCCAGGGTTTCTATGACAAGCTAACAACCAGACATGCGTTTATATTTTTCACTTTCAGATTGTGTGTTTTCATACATCATGTTGCTGCCAATAATGATGACTGATCTGCACCCAACCTGCCCTTCAGCATTTTATTAAATCTCTTCAACAGTGACTCATAGTTTGTACAGAATGTACATGTGTGTTAACAAGTTTTAAGAAATCCAGGAAGGAAGACAGATTTTTAAATGTTGTGGCTAAATGAAGTGAAAGGGAATGAAGTTTTTGTTTTGTTTTGTTTTTTTCAAAAATTGTTATTTCCCGGAGGAAATAAGTGGAGCTTGATGCTCAATGCAGGAAAAATGTTTACAAGCTCTCAGAAAAGCTTTGTGTAATTTGTATTATGATGGAGTAAAATGAAAACCATTTTACTTCAGTGGTTATGCTCCTTTTCAGTCTTCAAGTCTGCACAGTGTGACTACCATCTGGGTTTTCCTAGTTTTTTTTGCATCATATTTTCTACCCAAACCCTAAAGAAAAAGAAATGTATTATCCGCTCCTTAACAGAAAGGATGGGTGGAATTAATAAACCATTAAAAACTCAAATCAAACACGGGCATATCAATATTCACCTAACATAAGAGAAGCAGTATCTCTTACAATGTTGAGTTAGCTGAGGGAAACTCTCTACCACAAACCAAGCTGTTAGAGTTGGAACAGGTGCCAAATCCTAAGCAATGAAGTGCAAGCAAAGGTCACTGCTAACTCCACGTAGAAGGAGAGAGACCACGTGTGTATTAAACAGGGCCACTTGGGAACAGAACTGTGCTCACATCCTGAGTAACTAAGTCAAAGTGATTTTTAAGTGATGTACCTGTGCGGAATTGAGTAGCAGGATAGGAGTTTAGGGTAAAGTCTGCATATACTTTGAAAAATTATCATATGTTACATATTATCATGTTTTTAAGGTCCCCCTTCCCCTTTCTAATTACAAAACTGAAGCAGTCAGATTGCAATCGCGGCTTGGAGTAGCAGGAATACCTGCCGGCCCCTGCATCTTCAGGAATAGCCATAAGTCTGTCCACTTGTAGAAAGCAACTTGTCTTGGAATTTGGTCTCTGGTAACCATGTGTGTTTATGGATGAAGTTTGCTAGCAACACTGAGAAGGAAGAGAGATGGCATGTGTGATAAATCCCTGAATGGCAGAGCTTTGCCTTCTCGAATCAGCTCGTCCTGCCACTCCTTGGCCCTCAAATGGGAACGTTTCCCAGGGAAATATGATATGTATGCAGCCTCCATTGTATTAAAATTGCCTCCTCATCAGCTTAACCTGGAATCTATATGTGAATTTAGGTGTGCATGCAAAATTGATGGCCTACCTTCTACTAACGTCTAAAACAAGTTGAAAGAGTTCAAATACATACTATTGACAGTCTTGAAAATTTATACACAAGGGGAAGGTAAGAATAAACCAACCAAAAAACCTCCTCAGCAACACAACTTGTAGTAACACATTTTGGTGCAGTGTGTCTTTTGTCGGTTCCCTAACCACTTGGCTAAAAGGGCTGCAAAAAATTGATCTCCCAAGGCTGCAGTGAGGTCAGAGAAATTGATAACCCTGACAAGCACAGCTTATGTGAGTCTGTCTGTGTCTTGAAGATAGTGCACTTTGTAAATTAATCCTCCAAAGGCAAATATATTGTAAGGAGCTTGTTATCTCTAAAATACTAAATTGAAGAATACATGGAATTATATACATGAAATCACATTCCCTGTAATGGAGTTTAATATATCTGAAATCTCTCCCAAAAGGCTCCCAGGCTCTCTAACAGAGAGAAGGGTCTGTTAATAGAGGTGCAATGGACATCAAGAACGAATTTATTCACCAAAATGGATTAGGCCATGTAATCAGAGATTCAGTAATATTAATCTTTGACACTTATTGAACAGAAAGAAACATTTCTGTCTGCAAACTGGCATTCCCAGTTCTCTGCTTTCCCCAACCAGGCTTTGGGCCTTTTTCTGGATTTTACTTCAAAGAGGATAAGGTTTCCCCCATCATAAACACTAATCTAAAAATATTAGGACAATTAATTAGATACACTTCGTTTCAGAGGATATTGGGTTTCAATACCCTTCAAATATGACACTAGCTCTGGGTGACTATGGGAGCCTGGCTTTCAGCACACTCACAAAGGGTAATAAATCCTGCTCTCTCAAAGCCTCCTGCACACACCACACACTAAGCCAGAATGCTGTTGGCGGATTCTTGGTACATAATCTCAGCTTCTCCCCACATCAGGAATTTATACATTTATTTAGAAACAGTTCGAAGGCACATCAGAAACAAGTAATTTCTCTTTTTCCAGAGACAGGAGATGAGAGGGGGGGGATGAGGGGGTGTCTCTTGAATGCACCCCTAATAAAATATAACTAAATTTAGTTATTCAATGAATTGAAAACCTGATCGATATGTGATGGTAGACTATATATATATATATATATATATATATATATATATATATATATTATTGATTTTTTTTTTACAGAGAGGAAGGGAGAAGGAGAGGGAGAGAGAGAAATATCAATCAGTTGCCTCTGTACACCCCTTACTGGGAATGTGCCCACAGATAAAGTACACATGCCCTTGACTGGAATTGAACCTGGGACCCTTGAGTCCACAGGCATTGCTCTATCCACTCAGCCAAACCAGTTAGTACAAATTTTCTTGTTTCACACAAAATAGGATGGTTCCACTCTTTCTATCCATTCTCCTGAGAAGGGGGTGGGGGGTGAGGGGAGCCATAGAGAGGGATGCTCTCACAGAGCCATCATGAAGGTGACTTAGACACTGATTTAGAGGATGCCTACCCTGTGATGGTTAATAAAGGAGGGGTAGCTATGCATTGCCTTCTTTTCCATATTAGCAGAGACTCTCACCCATCACTCCGCAGCTTGTTTTCACTTTTGGATCAGACACGCCACCAGGGAAAACAGCCGACCTGGGTGTGTCTTCTTAATGCAAAACCTTGGCTGCAGGTCGCCAGAGGGGGAAGCAGATTATGCTCCAACACAAAGCCAAGTCACTTACCAATTGTTCACTTGAAGGATGGTGAGTCCCGTGTCTTGTGCCAACTGCTTTTTCTGTTCTTCAGAAGGGTAAGGGTGCTGGAAGAGAACAGAACAGATAGGTGTGTGCGCGTGTACTGGGGGCAGAGAAGGTCATGCACATCCCAGGCCAGGTGACACAGCGGGGCCCAGAGGTTAAATAACACACAGATATGCTCTTCAAACAGGAGACAGGTATGTCAAGCAATATTTAGGCTATTTGTCAATAACCTAAGTGTCTAGGGAAGACTAATTAAAGGTAAAAATGCTGAGGTGTGTCACTCTTATTAATGGAATACTACATCATCTAATTAATGGCAGTAAAAAGACAGCCAATTACAAAGATTAGTGAAGTGTATAAATAGCTCCTTGGGATACTTGCAGAACCTTGATACAGAGTTTATCCTTTAACAGGTCTATTTGCTGCAAACATGGCAAGTTCAGAATGGTCTTCGCTGTGTTTTATAGGATAAGGATAAAGACAAGCCCTTTGGATCCTACACAAGTGTACGCTACTTGATGAAATATTTTTAAAATATATTTTATTGATTTTTTTTTTTTACAGAGAGGAAGAGAGAGGGATAGAGTTAGAAACCTCGATGAGAGAGAATCATTGATCAGCTGCCTTTTGCACACCCCCCACTGGGGATGTGCCCGCAACCAGGGTACATGCCCTTGATCGGAATCGAACCCAGGACCTTTCAGTCAGCAGACCAACGCTCTATCCACTGAGCCAAACTGGTTTCAGCTTGATGGAATATTTTTATTAGAACCTTGGATTCCCAAAGCAGAACCTTTTGGACCAACCGTCTCAGCTGAGGCCCGCAGCAGCTAGGCACTCTGATAGCATGATGGTCCCCCTCCAAATGCCATATTGCTGGATGCAAATATCAAAATTAAAGTGGGTACATTTTAAACATATATATATATATATATATATATATATATATATATATATATATATATTATTGATTTTTTTACAGAGAGGAAGGGAGAGGGACAGAGAGCTAGAAACACTGATGAGAGAGAAACATCGACCAGCTGCCTCTTGCACACACCCCCACTGTGTGCCCTTGACCGGAATCGAACCCGGGACCTTTCAGTCTGTAGACCGATGTTTTATCCACTAAGCCAAACCGGTTTTGGCAAAGTGGGCACATTTTTAATCCACTGTTCCTCTGAGCTCTTCTGAGAAGCACAAACAAACGCAATTCCACCAAAGTTTGTTTCCCTATCTGAATGTCAACACATGCTGGGATTCTGACCGTAGGCCAATATAAGGTCAAAGACCAGCATAGTTTGCATGCTCTGAACAAGCCCAGCTACGCTCCTCATAAAACGGGATAAAAAAGCATTACAGGATTAGATAATAAAACGAAATCCGCACCTTCTTGTAAGAATGTTTGATATTCTGCTGAAATGAGTTTGGGCACAAATACTTTTTGTTCAATAATCAACTATATCTGAATGGGAACTATACATTCCTGCAGCCTGGGACAGGAGCTGAGGTCGCAGTGTGCATCTATGGAGACATTGCCTAGTTTGAAACACTGCATCCTAATAAATGCTCCCGAGATAAAACCTGTTCTGATAGTCAACAGTCTATTCTCTTCCGGGTGGGAAAGGGCACCCCTAACTCTCAGCTTAACTGCCTGTGCCACAGGAAACTGAATTCTGGTCTATTGAATGCTAATTAACATAGCTTTTAATCTCATTAATAATGTCTGATTAGATGCTAAGAAGGCGCGTTAATGACCACTTGAGTGCTCTTATAGGCACCTTTGAGTATGTTCTCTCTCTATACACCTGGGATTCCTTTGCGGAGGGCAGAGATGTAGCAATTTCCCCCATAAGCATTGTCTTTGATTGTCACTTAATCAATAAATACACAATTAGAAAAAGGCTTTGCTTTCATGGAATATAGTCCCTTTCTCTAAAGAGCTCCAAGTATATTAGAGACAAGATGGTAATTAATCCCCATTATATCCCTTTGAGGGACATAAATGGGATCGATTGTCCCTCCTGTCTTATAGGTGAGGAAACTGACCAGGGGAAGGGATGGTCCGCAGCCACACCACTCAGCGGCATTTCCTGTTTCCCTGCCAGGGTCTAAGCTTCACCATGGAAGAGGGATGTGATCTCTCCGCCTGGCCCCCGCCCCAAAACCTTCAGACTGCTCACCAGGGCTTGCTAGGCCTGCCACTCGGCAGCCCTGCCCACTCTCAGCCTTAGTGGCCTTCTCCTCAGGACCACCTCAACCCTCCTTTCTGTCTTTTCAATGCTCAAGCTTGTCCCTACCACTCAGGTTCCTGCTCTAATGTCATCAATTCAAAAGCCAAGCCTTACCCACTCTACTCACCACCAGCTCACCTTTTCGCTCTCACACCAGTCTTTTCCTTCTTCCTTAACAGCAAGCACTGCTCTCTCAAACACTTGTTCTGACTGCCTGTTTCCTCGGTGTGTCTCCACCCACTCATTTAGCAACTCCAAAGCCCATGCCTTTGCCGTTCACCATTCTCAAATCCCAGACTAGCATAGCAGAAAATCAGCAAACAGTTGTGAAATAAAGGGATAGTCACTCAGATGCAACCTCAAAAGGTACAATAAAAATTGTTCAAAGCCCACAAGAGGAATAAACAATGCAATTTGAGATCCATAACACCACTTTCCTTACTTCACTCCTAAAAGTGAGTCAACCCACTCTTTTCAAATAAAAGTTTATAAGCCTCATAATAGGCTGAGATCATGTGACAATCTCCCTACTCAACATAGTGCCGGTCACCCAGGCAAAAAGCTCCTGATTGGATACTGGGCTAAGGGCAATTCTCTGGGCTAAGAGCAACCCTCTACGCTAAGGTTTAAAACATGCCTCCCACTGCATAGAGGCTCGCCACACAAATGAACCTCTTATCCAACGAATAGAATGAAGGTGGGTATATAGTAGCTCCATGTCAACACCAGCTGAAGAATTGTTCTTAGGCGCACATGACTCTATCAGATTTATGTTATGCTGCCACTCACTGAGACTTTGAACAAGGAACAACTTTTCTAATCCTCAATTTTGTCATCTAAGAGCCATCAAAGATAAAGGTTCCCCAGGCTAGCAATTCTTACAGAATGGAAGTCTGATTTTGAAATGTGGAAATGTAAGCATCCAGCTATTGGCACTAAGCAGGTCCCTGGATGAAGTCGTTTCTCTCAATGTCATTGTGTTACAACGTTGATGAGATGCTGCAGGAACTTGTCATCAGCCGATAGTAAAATTGGTTTTGGGGACGCTTTATTGTGATGAAAGGTTAAGAACCTACTCATGACGTTACGTGAGAATGTACTGTATTTGCCATATAACGTGGTAGACTGATGTACGCAAGTGGTTTTCAATCTGGAACATTCTCTGTAATTTTAGTACAGTTTTATGGGTCCTATGAAAATCTCTTTCGTGATTTCCAGTAGGATTAACAAACATGTCAATAGTCTCTCTGTTCTATAGCTGGATGGCAGTACCTTTGTTCTGTATTGTCAGTTGTATCTTAATAGTATGACCAGAACTGGATAAAAATTAATATTGATGCCATTTACCTTTAGTTACTTTGAAAATTGAGAATTGTCATAGTCATTTATTTGTGCTCTGTTTTCAAGCATATTTCTGCACGCCTGTTTCTGCGCAAGTTTTAGATCTAGTCTTACACAACAAATGGAATTCACATTTTATTTATGCAAGCGGTGTCAGAAAAATTCTCTTTGGATCATTAAAACTACCTGAATCATTACAGCTTCAAAGAGCAATCAGATGGCCCTCCAAGTTTCGGTGCAGATTCGGATTGTTTTTCACATCCTGCAGTTTCTGATTTCATAATTTAAATATCATAAAATGAGAAAGTTCTACCCTTTTTTCCCCTCTGTCACTTTTCATGTGATCTGATTTTAAGTAATTGGAACAAACTGTGTCTAATTTCATGCAGCATAATTGCCAGGCAGCCTCAAGCTATGGAGACCCAGCACTTCGTCTCCATTAAACCATTTTCAGTTGTTCAGGATATGTATTTTTTAATAGAAATGAATAAGCCTAGACGAGATTAAATGTCACAATAATCTGGTCATTGTTAACGGGAAAAGGGGGTATGGACAAAATTCCTACACCCTTGTCTACCGCAGGTCAACTGCATAATGTTTTTCTTCCTCCTAGCTCTTGTCCTTGGGGGGTCCCACAAACCTTCAATTCCCTCAAGGTGGGGGTGGGAGAATCTATAATTATTAGTATTACATGAAAGCCATGACTTCAGGTACCTAATCTACAGCCAGACAAAAAATTCACAAAGAACTTGGCTTTTTCACTGAAATCCAACATGTTTAAATATCTTAAACCCTATGCATCTTTACCAGATAAGCTTTTTGTGGACAGTGAGAGCTAGTCCTTTGTAGACTTAAAAAAAAAAAAAATACGGCTATAACCCAACATGCCACAGGCAAGGCTGCTTCTCTACAAACACTCAAAGCCTTGGTGCATTCTGCCCAGGGCCAGTGAGGCCGTAAGATGGGCAAAGGTAGACATCACTTCACTAAAGAGATAAAGACAAGTGCCATTTTAGAAAGAAAATGGGAATTTCATTCCAAACCATTGCGACTAAGGGGCCAGGTCACTCTTCGCCATTCCCCTGAACTCCTCTGCTATTATTGCACCTGAAGGGCGAGGACTCTGACTTAAGAGAGATCAGTAGGTCCTTGTGAAGGAAAGATGGATGGCACTTGCCAGAAACAGCGATCCACCTAACCACGTGGGGCTATCAAAGCAAATTTGACCATTCCCATAGACAGGGACAGGAGCCCTCACCTTTGTTGTGTACATTAGCCTCGTGCCATTATCTCTTAAGAGCTTAATTATTTGCAAACAATTGATCAAGATGGGAATTTGAGAAAGGATATGCAAGGGCCACTGGGAGAAGTGCAAGGCATTAAGAGAGCAAACGAAATTACCTTTAGATCTCACAATAAGAATTAACGATTGAGCCGGGAGAGCTGGGCTGTGCAGTAGCTGCAAGGGTTCTTTCTCGAGTGTTTCC